TAGGTGCGTTATGTTCTACTTGTTTATCAGTCATCATCAGGTAGGCTGTGCATTTCGGGTCAGTTAGTCAATCGCTCAGTTAACTAGTCATTTAGTTAGCCAGTATCGTTTTATCGTTGGTTGTTGCTGTACCTAAGTGTGCGGGCATCTGCACACACACATACACACATAAGAAAGAACAAACAAAATATCGATTACGCCTTCTTTGCAACACCTATAAAAGTGACAATTCCTAAGAACTGCCATTATACTATTGACTTATATCAAAAAAGAAAAAAAGGTTTTTTATGAAGTAAAAGAGAATTTTTTTCGTGTTTGTTCACGTTTAAGGTTGAAAGATACATTGTTTCAACATCGATTCTTGGAAAAAAAGAAAGGAAAAAAAATCGAAGACGAGGAGAAGAAAAAGTGAGATCTGGACGTTTTTTTTGTTTCTCTTCTCTGTGTTTTGTTTCTTTATGTGTTTTTTCTTTTTATTAATATGCTTTTTAGGTTCAAATAAATAGACATATAAAGTAAACTCTTATAAATACCTTAATGTTCGAAGGTGACATAATGCATTATTGCTGGCTTAATAATTACTTGGATTATTTTGGTTGTTGTCGCTGGTGGACAGGAAGCGGAAAGGAAGAGTATAGGAGGGGTGTGGTGGGGAGTAAAAGAGGTGATATAAAGGAGGGTCGCATGTTCCTCCAAAACCATGAGGTTGTATTGGATGCGTTTTTTCTGCTTTTTATCATTTGTAAGCTTTAGGATAGCCGTAATAAAAGAATTAGAAATGCTAGTAGTAGTAACGATGATGATGACTGGTAGCATTATTAACGGTGACAGGGCGACTGTTTCGTGAAGCTTTCTCAGTTTCAACAACAGTGAATGGTGGTGACGGTGGTGGTAGAGTTGATGATGATGATATGCATAATGATGCATAATAGAAGGAAAAGCGAAAGAATAGAGGAGAGAAATTGAGGCTTAAGAAATTCAAACTTCTAATTTCACGTGTTTTATTAGTGCATTTGTTTTGAGGAAGATTTCTCTCAAAACCGATCAGTTTATCTTCAAAAAAAAAATTTTTTTTTTGTTTACTTTTAGTTTACGACAGATTGATATTATTGAATAGTGAGTGTTTAAGTTCGGATAATGCATAGTTTTCTGGTATTGTTATCTGGTAATTTTTTTTTCAATTTTTTTTCAATTTTTTTTATTTTTTTTTTGATGTGGGTGTTTCACATGTTCCGGTGTTAATCATTTTCCATACGAAATACTACATGTTTTGTTTTTTTTTCCTTTTCGATTTTTTTTTTTTGTTTTCATATTCCGTTCGTTGTGCCTCCGTTTAATCTGTATTATGTTCGTTGTTTTTTTTTTTTT